TGGCCGTACGCCCGCGCCAATGGGCGCCCGTAGGGCCCTCGCCCCGCCCCGGGACCGCCCCCGCAACTCGAGCCATGGGGGGGGGAACGCGGGCCGGGGGCCCTGGGCATGGGTGTGCCGGGTGGGGGGGCGTGGGGCGCCCCAGCAGGCCCACGAAATACCGGGTATCCGTTCCAAAAAAATCGAGGCCCCATGTCATGTTTCCGGGGTGCCCTGCGCTTGTGCGACTGGGGCGCGCGGTGTGCATCAACGTGCGTGGCACCCTAGGCCTCAGTGGTAGTAAGGAACCTGTGCTCAGTTAGAGGGCTACAAAGTTAGGCGCATCCTGGCATGTAGAGTTCAGGCGCAAGTAGCTAGGTGCTGGGTCGAGGGTCCTCACAGGGACCTACCTCCCAGGCAGTGGACGGTTCCCAGGATCGGCTAGGGTGGAGCGCGCAGCCGCCACCTGCCTGAGCAGGCAGGGAGGACTGTGAGGCACCTCGAGCTGCAGCCAGATCCCGAGCGCCCCCCGGTGCTTTGCGTAGGGTACCTGAGCAGTGTCGGGGGGCCACCAGGTGCGCCACGAAGGGAAGGCTGGTTTGACCACGCCAGAGTTGGGCCCTGCGTGGAGCCCAGCGCAAAGTCTGCATTCTAACGCAGAAAAAGAAGCAGGGCTGGAAACGTAGCTCAAACCATACCTGTAAACCAGAGCTCACCGGAGTGCATCTAAGCAGCACGCCTTTGGGACCCACCCAGAATACCTGGATAACAGTTCCCTGTTATCAGTGCGATAAACTTGCATAGGCGCGGGTTTGGCCCCAGGGGCCACCACGATTATTTGAGGGTCTGAGGAAACCATCTCCTGGAGGGTTCGGACGATGTAAGAAGCCATTGTGATTCTTACGGAGTCGAAACCACTCATAAACCGGTGCACCCTGCTCCCCACCAGCCCACGCCGCACACCTCTAGGAGTGGAAGGGGCCATCACCGGCGGAAACCCGCGCACCCCGGGCTAACCTCCGGGCCCGGCCATCAATCACTGAGCCCGCGCTCCGCACGCCTCCCCAAGCCCTCGACCCGTAGGACTGGAGGCTCCCAGCCACCGGAGCGCTCAGCGCCTCTCCCGGGTTTGGCTTTGCCCAACGCTCTGCCCTTCCCGTTTCCTGGCCGCCAGGCGCTTTCCCTACCACTGCGTTATTTGCAGAGTGCAGGCAAAGTGGCGCGTGTTTCGGGGCACCCAGCCTAAGGGAGCGTGGCCTCCGAGGGAGAAGGCAGCATCCCGCTCCAGCGCTGCTCGGCAGCAGCCCTGGGGACTAGCTGCGAGGTAGCCTGTTGCCCGCAGCCGCAGCTGCAGAGCTGAGGCACAGGGAGCGCGCCACGGGGAGCTCACCGCAAGGCCGAGGGTCGCGTCCGCAGGCGCAGAGGATCCGAGGAGAAAGGCTGGAGAGGATCTGTGGAGCGCAGTGGACGTTGCTGAAGGTGAGCAAGACCCCAAGGCAGTCCCCAGTGTCCCGGGGCAACGCCCAGTCCGTTGGAAGACCCGGGGACAATGCCCAAATTTGGGGGAAACTGGGGGCAATGCCCAGTCGTTTTCCTGGACGAGGGAGCAGCACTGCCCACGTCCTGGCCGTCGCGCAGTGTCCTGAGCGTATTTGGGGCACACAGACTTAGCCAAAATCGGAGCTGTCTCTGGGACCCCGTAGGAAACTGAAGAGGCCGAAACTAATGTTATGCGCAGGACAGGGGAAGCTGCCGAGAGTGGCCAGCGGAAACAATGCTCAAATTTCGGGGGTCCCAAGTCAGACCCTTGTTTGACTTGCAGCCCTGTGGATGACTGTCCCGAAGTAGGGGGACTCGGGAGAGACTCCACAAATGGAAAAACTGGTTAACAGCTAAATTTGAGATTAAAAAAAAAAAAAAAAAGACTCCCAAGTTAGGGAATGAGGGAAATTATTGCATGCAAAAATAGGGGGCATTTTGATCCAAGCCTAACTTGGGGAACCCAACATCTTGGTCAGCAAACTTAGGAAAACCCACAAAAACCTAGATTAATTTGTAGAAGTTAGGTAGTTTGTTGTTGCTGTTGAATTAAAGAAAATTCCCAACATGAAATTTGGGGGAGCTTCATTTTAATTGCTTAAAATTGGGAAATGGGATTTTAGGGATCCAGGTCAATTATTTTGGGAGGCAGGAGTGGGGATTTAGATTTACCCTTGAGGCCAGAGGAACTTGTAGCAGCCGGGAAAAATCACCTCTATAATTTCTGTGGCTTCAAAGAAGTCTTCCAGAAAATGGGGAAATGCTGTCTAAATGTAGGGGAATTTGAGGAAGCAGTCCATTTGAGGAAGACAGAAAATCAATGTCTTTTAATATTTTAATTTCTTAGACAGACTTCAGTCCGTCATTTTGTTGAACAAGGGGGAACTTTGTTTTCTTGGACAATGTTTGCGCTTGGAGAAACATACGCGAGTTTTAGGGATCAATAAAAATTACCCAATAGATGTTGAAATCCAAATTGCAGGGAGTAGAATTAGTAGCTAGGAAATGTGTAAAACACAGACTTTTAAAACCTAGGATTTGGGTGATCTGGGACGTTTTTCACTGTGCTTTGGGGGACCATAAAACATTGTCTAAATTTAGGGAGACTCTGGCAGGAGTCATAAATTCAACAAAGTTCATTAAAGTTTAATAAAAACCCAACTCTTTGAAAGAAAAAAAGTCTCAATTTGTTTTGGAGTACCTGAATTTGGGGGCCTCAGGAAAATAATATTTGAATCTAAAGTTTCCCAGTATCCTTGGAACACTTTAGGGGCAATTCCTACATATCAAGGAATAGAGATTATGAGTTCCTAAATCCTAGGACCTAAGAATCAATGCCCCAAATTTGTAATCTGCAGAGATTGTGCAGGGTGACTGGGGAAGAAAAGCTGAAATGTAAGAGGCTGAGTGTGTGCATGGCTGGTACTGCAGGGGGACATAGCAGAAACTTTCCGTGACCCAAGGCTAACTAAACGTGTGTTGGGGCCTGGAAAACATGGCCTAATGTTTGAGGGTGCTCAGCATGGGCCAACATGGGGAATGAGGAGAAGGGTCCAGGATGGTACTGGACTTTGCAACTGGCGTTTGAATTAAAAAAAAATTTTTTTTAATTGGAAAGCTAAAAGGACCCAGGGACTCTTGATACTTGGTGCAGAGAAAATACTCAGAATGTTCAAGGATTGGGGACATTCAACATTCTAGTATAAAGAAAAAGGCTTTGGCCAGTGGTTAATTTTGTGCCTTCTGTGACCCAGAGAGACATGTATGAATTGAGAGAGCATGGAAAGCTCTCTCTTGCCACATGTGAGCACACACGCCTAAGATCATTGCTTAGCCTGCTTTGGGAGCTTGAGTGAGAGCGTCTGTATTTTAAAAAACATAACAGTGGCCAGAAAGCTTTCAAGAGTGCTAGAAAACCCCAACTCCCGCGACCCTTGTGTGTTGGGGAGGGGGAAAACAGGGGTTCTTGTTGAGTGAGTTTTAGGGGTAATTTGTGAAAGCACTCCCTCGATTTTCTGGAACCCGGGAAATGAGAGTGTAGGTTGCTTGAATTGCCTACCTTTAGGGGAGGACCTAGTAAGAAAGGCTAGAATTTCGAGGGTTCCAGGAAATTGTTTAGGAGGTCTGAGTGGATTTCAACTTGTAAAATTTGGGGTTGGGGCAACAGACTACAGAATCTAGTGTATTATGTTCCACGTTAATGAAACTGGAGGGTGGGTGGCGGGGAAACAGAGTTAGCGGCAACAGTGCTGCAGATATAAAACGATGTGCTAGGGACACGGGAAAATAGCCCCCCCCCTCCCCGCCCCGTGGATACAGACCCTAAATGCTGTGAAACTGTCCACCCTCCCGAGTAAGAAAAAATTGTCAGAAGGACTCAAGACCCCGGGCTTACGTTTAAATTTTAGGAAACTGAGTTAAGATCTTGCATATGAAACTAAAGAGACAGAAGCAAACTCTGGGGGGCCCAGGCCACATAATCTAATTTTGGGGAGCAAGCGGAGGCTTAATTCCCACCTTTTGAAATGTTTGGAAATCAAATATCAAAAAAAAAAAAAAAGTTTCACTTGTGAGAAAAACAAACGCTGAATGATTTTAGAGGGCCCCCTGGAAAGCAATGCTTCAATTTTGAGGATCCCAAGGAAACAACGCCTGAGGTGCAGAGAAGCTGCCCGAGTTGCTCTGGCTGCACGTAGACTACAGAGAACTAGAACTGTATTTGAGAAACTGAGCTCCCAGGCGGCGAAGGACGGGGCGCAAGGATCCGCGGTGCCAGGGAACTCACACGGAGCAGGGGCGCCCTCACGGGGGAACGCGGGCGCGGGGAAGGGGAGCAGGCGGAGCAGACAGGGAGCACCGGCGCCGGCGGAGCGTACGCCCGAGCCAGCTGCATTTTTCGTTCTTTTGCCTTATAGCCACCCAGAGGGCTTTGGGTGGCGGAGGCCAAGCCGGACGGGCGTCGGCGAGGGAGCCGAATGTTGAGCAAGCAGCCGCGCGCTGCTCCCGGAGGCTCCCTGGGCTCCGGGCGCCCCGTTCGGCTCCCCGCCGCCCCTGCGCCCCACGCGTTCAGGCGCCGCGAGCCTAGGCGAAGCCGCGGCCCGGCGGCCGCCGGGGGCAGGCTCGTCCCTGGCTCTGTTTGGGGGCCCGAGGCACCCCCAGTGGCCACCCCTGCCCGCCCCTGCTCCCCGAACGCGCCGATCCGGCGTTGCTCGCTCCCTAACAATTAACAACGGAGGGATCAGTTTTGTTTGGACAGTATGGAAAGAGGGTAAAAAGTGGGGGAGCAGAGAAGAAAGTGGGGGGCAGAGGGGCGCATAATGACACAGTGGGAGCAGTGACTGGGTGCCAAGGCCCTCATTTCGTTTTCTCAGAAAATTTCTGCGACTAGCCACTCGGTTCTGGCTGGGGAAAGTCCAGCTCCTTAAAGGCAAATATTAAACCCACACACAGGCTCACCGTGCTGTTGTTGGGAACAAGGCCACCCCCTCATAGTTGGGCAATGCTGGAGGTGAAGGGCCACGATTCTAGCGGGACCTGGGGGGTGGGGTGGGGTGTTAGATAGAGGAGGTGCTGGGGAGCAGCTGAATGGGGGGAAACCCTGGGACCATGACTATAAGCATTGCTTGTCTCTATAATCACTCACAGAGAGACCCATAGAGGACAGTATGGGGGGGGGGTTGGATTCTCAAAGCCTGACACTCTGGGGAGGCAGGAGTTAATGTCCTTCGACAGGTGTGGGGACCCAGGCAGGGTGAGGCATCTCCTTCATATTAGCTTGGCAAGACTGAGAGAGCCCCCCACACCCATTTTCCACCCAGAGCATGAGGCACGTGGAGAATGTTCCCCTTTCAAATTCCAGTCCGCAACAATCACCCCCGTGTCCTATTCCAAGAACATCTGGCCCTGTCCCCCTCCAACACACCCATGCAGCCCCCCTCCCACCAGCCTCTATCCCTGGCGTTTTTTTGGCCTGCCTGGGTGTGTGCCTATAGACTTGAGGAAGCTTCCAGCTAGGAAGACAGGGGTATGGTGATCCCCATTCCGGGTATACTTGTAAATTTGTTGGGAGTAAGAAACATTAAAAAAGGGGGTGTCTGTGAACACCCAGTCCTCATGAAGCCAGAGCAGGCAGGCTACAAGCCCTCTACTGAGGGTCTCTTATAGAAAGAAATGGCAGATTGGCTCCCAAGTGCCAGCTGGGGGTTCTCTACCTTTCCCCAAGAAGTGGCACAGATTGGGGGTGAACAAGATACTGGGACCAGAGCCCCATTTCCGGAGTCCTGCTTCTTTGCTCCTAAGAGGCAACTGAGAAGACAGCAGTCATAAAGTGACCTGTTTCATGGCCTAATCTCTGCTTTCCGCCCTGCAGAGGTGCCTTGGAGAAGCCACGGGATCACCCCTGGAGATGCACTCCTGGATTTTGCCAGGTAGGAGACGCTGAGGTCATCTTGAGGTGCCCACTGAAGAGCCACCAGAGCATACAGGCGGGGTAGGGTGGGGAAAAGGACACGCATGTTCTCCTTCCTCTACATGACTCTCCACGGAGCCTTCACCTGGCCTTATTTAGTCAAAGTGTGGCTCAAGGGGCCGGTAAGAGGCTGGTACAGTTCCGGGTCAACCTAGGACTCAAAAGCGCTCAACCCACCCTCAGCCAGGGACCAACAACAGGATTCTCCCTCTAAGGCCCTCTCCTTTCCTCTATTTTCACTCCCTGCCCCCCCCCCCCGAGGTAGGAAGGAACCTACTACACCCTTAGAATGTTATTGGGAGGGGGCTACGGTTTCCTCTAGGCAGGGCTTGACCCACCAGACTTCAACCCTAAGTGCGCCTCAGTCCCTTCCCAGCCCCACCACCATGGCAGTCCAAGTCTTTCTGGGCTTAAAAGCTCAAATTCTGAAGAAATTAAATACCCTTTAAGATTCAGATTCACCCGTTAAGCCTGGCCAGCACCGTTAGCCAGGGGCTCTGTCTGTCTCCCTTCAGTCCATGGGTCTGTCTTCCTTACTTCCCCGTGTCTTTCCCCAGCTCAGCTGTTGCCCTCGCTTGGGAACAAGCCCAGCATTTTGCACACCCAGCTCCTCTCTGAGGGTCCCCGGTATGCCCTCCTTCATTCCCTGCCGGAGGGACGGACGCCTGCTGCAGAGGCCACACTCTGCTGGGGACCTGGCCACCACACTGGGGTTCCACACCAGGAAGACCCAGGCTGTGCTCCTGCAAGCCTGGGAAGTCACTACGGGAACCACCAACATGAGGATTGCACCACCAGGCTGATCAACACACCTCAAACCAAAAGTAAGTAAGAGCTGCTGTGGGGGCACTGGGTGGGTGGGGGGGGCAGCAGAAAAGGCCGGTGTGCTGGGTGGAGATAGACTGAGGCCACACCACTGTCTTAACTGCTTTAGTGTCAGAACCAACCTTTAAAAGGAGGTTTTTGGCTTCTCTTTGGCATGGGCATGATAGCCTGGAAGGGGTAGGAGTTCACCTGCTGGGCCCCACCCTGCCGACTCTGGGAAGCCTGCACTACTTGAGGCTTAGGCACAAGGACACAGACCCACACGCGGCTCCCCCTCCCCCAGCCTCCACTGCTCTGCCTTCCTGACACAGAGCCTTTGCCTTCCTGATCCCCGGTACCTGAGCAGGGAACTGCAGGGGCCACCAAGCAGCAGAGCTTATGCCAGCAGAGTCCACAATGCTTCTGGCCCCAGGCCCTTTCTTGCTGCCTCCCATCCCCATTCACGCACAGGAAACCCATGGCCTCCAGAACACAATGGAATCAGGACACGAGCTCTCCTAAGGCCCTTCACAGGTCCCACAATGTCTCTTTGGTCATTATTTCATTTGCTATTCACAGTTCAGCCAGGAGGTCCGAGACTGTCACACACTTTGACAAATGGGGATAGACACAGAGAGGTCAAGACACTAGTGCTGGGCCTCCACAGCTGCAACTGTATAACCAGGGGACGGGGGAATGGGCCCCCCATGCCCAGCTTTCCTCAGTCTCTCAATTCTTTCTAGCTAACGGTTTCTTCTTCTTTTTTTTTTTCTTTCCTCAGATTCTTCCCTCATCTGGAACCTCTGCCTTTCCCTCTTGGGCTGTGTGACCTTTAACCCTCAGCCCTTGCCACCTTTGCTCCGGGACTCCTGGGAGCGCAGCTTCAAGGATCTACAGGCTACAGAGACTGCTGGATGACTGCTCTGCCTGCACCCTGTGCTCCCAAGGAGGGGCACGTGGAGCCCACCTGAATTCCAGATACCGACTGTGTGACTGAATAGATTTCCTAGCCTCTGCTAGTCCCTTGGCTGCAGGGGACTTGGCTGAGCCCAGTATCTGCAGCCGTCCAGATGTGACTCCTATGCTAGAGATGCCTCTGCCCTGCTGGGTGCATGATGGACACTCACCTCTGGGGAAGGACTGGGGCTGGTGGGCGGCTTGATTCAGTTCTGGGAGCGTGGAGATCTTCTGGGCCACAGGCCACAGCAGCTGGCCCTGGGGCTGGATTCACGGGCTGCTCTGGCTGGTTGCTGCTCAGGCTTCGGCTCAGGCCCTGGCTCAGGCCCTGACTCAGGCCTCGGCTCAGACTTAGGCTCAGGCCCTGGCTCACGCCTCGGCTCAGACTTAGGCACAGGCCTGGGCTCATGCCTCGGCTCACGCCTGGGCTCATGCCTCTGCTCACGCCTGGGCTCATGCCTCGGCTCACGCCTGGGCTCATGCCTCGGCTCACGCCTGGGCTCATGCCTCGGCTCACGCCTGGGCTCACGCTTTGGCTCAAGCCTGGCCTCAGGTTTAGGCACAGGCCTTGGCTCAGGCCTAGGCTCAGGCTTAGGCACAGGCCTTGGCTCCAACTTAGGCACAGGCCTTGGCTCCAACTTAGGCACAGGCCTTGGCTCCAACTTAGGCACAGGCCTTGGCTCCAGTGTAGATGCAGGCCTTGGTGGAGGTACCGGCACGGGCCTTGGCTCAGGCCTCGGCTCAGGCCTCGGCTCCAGTGTAGACGCAGGCCTTGGTGGAGGTATCGGCACAGGCCTTGGCTCAGGCCTTGGTGGAGGTATCGGCACAGGTCTCGGTGCAGGCTTGGTTGCATACTGGGCAACAGGTTTAAACGCCGAAGGAGATGGAGGACCCTGGGCTATGGGCTTGGGTTCCTCCTCCTTAAACGCCGAAGGAGATGGAGGACCCTGGGCTATGGGCTTGGGTTCCTCCTCCTTAAACGCCGAAGGAGATGGAGGACCCTGGGCTATGGGCTTGGGTTCCTCCTCCTGCACAATGACCTCGAGCTCGCTGGTGACTACTCGGCCCCTGAGGAGAAGCAAAAGTCTTTGAGATTATCTCAAAAAACAAGTCTTCTCCAGCGAGTCTGGCCCCCCTCCCACCTTGCTGCTGGATAGGGAAGCCTGTGAGTCAACTTGTCAGGGTTGCTCCCCTCCCCCACCCAGTCCCTTCAGCTGCCTAACTACCCCCACCCCACCCCCACCCTCCCAAGAAGAAGGGAGAAAGCAGTTGGTGAGAAGTCACTTTGCCAAGTTTGACAACTGCTCCGGGAGAGGCAGGAGACCCTCCTTTGGGAAGGGCAAGCTGGCCCCTTCCTAATTAGGGATGGGCTTCTGCCTTGGCACGGGGTCACAGCTAAAACTGTGAAAGTCTTCCACTCCTCTCCTCACACCCCCACCTTGGATGGGAACAAAAGTCAAAAGAGCACATGGCTCTGCTCTGGGAAGGCAGCCTCTGGAAGGGTGGTAGGGCTTCTCCAGGAAATAGCCCCCCTCCCCATAAATGCTATCCTGGGTGGATTGAGGTGTCTGGGATCCCAGTTGCAGGGAAGAAAACCTTTATGCACAAATGAATGTGCACCCAGGAGCGCTGCTGCCGCCCCAAATTACTATTTGTGGACGGGAGCACTAGAGGGAAGGTGCGCACAGCAGCCGGCATGGTCAGGACAGAAGTAGCTTTTGTTTTTTAAACGCTGCTAGAGAATAGCAAGGGAAATCATCCTCTCTTGGTCCTTCTCCTTGCTCTCCAGTATCCTGGTGGTAGTTAGGAGGTATAGGATATAGACGGGGAAGCTTTGCTTTTAAGATTATATGTATACATACATACATTTTATATATGCATGTATGTATAATACATACCCCACACTGCTCTAGAATCTCTAGCCCCTCTGCACATTTGCGGGGGGGGGGCGGGGAGTGGAGACGAGTGTGCACCAAGGGAAAATTTTTCACACAGAAAAACTCTTTCCTTCCACATTTGTGAAAACAGCTGTGTACTCCCCGCCGGGAAGAGCAAGAGACCTGCCTCTCCCCTTTCGCATGGTAAATTAGTGAAGGGAAACTTACTTTCCTTGTAGCTTTGTGCAGCCCCGTAAATCCCCTCCCCAATTGTCTTTCCTGTCCCTGCAGAAGTTAAAGTTTCTCTTAGACCCGTCCATGCTACACTTAGACCCGTTCACGTTACAGCCCCCCACCCCCCACTCCAGTCCGATCCAGCAGCAATCTTTCCCTCTTCAGAGACCAGGATCCTAACTGCCCCAAGTCCCCAGCCCACTTAAGGGTATCAGAATATTTAAACTACAGTTTCACTCACACACAGAAGGAATGAAAAGCCAATTAGTTACCTGTACTCTAGTCGCTTTGAAGTCCCCGAAGTCCCCGGACGGTGGAGAAAGAGGACCGGGGGCTCACTGGTGCCAAGGATTCTCTTCCGTAATTCCTTGGGTGATGAGCTGCTGGCTGGGCCAGGATTAGCAACCTCCTCCAAAGCAGGGGGTGCTGTAGTTGTGGTGCCCAGACACTCCAGCTGAGTTGAAGTTGAAGGAGAGGTGGAAGGGGACGAGGCTGAAGCGGAGGCTGAAGATCCGATGAGAGGGTCTTTTGGAGCTTGCATGATAACAGGGCCGCTAGCCGTAGGCTCTGCTCTCCACCACCGAGCAAGGCACCTGCTCAAATGCTAACTGACTGGCTTTGCCACTCACCTCCTTGTCCTCTCCACGCTGGTCTGCAGACCCCTCCAAATTTGGAAAATTATATACTAGCACAGTGCAGCAAAGACTTCTGGGGCAGCTGACGATGGCAACCCCCCCCCAGGGTATGCGGGCATTAGGGGGTGGGGCTTTGGCCATGCCTGATAAGCGGAAGGACCTCTATGTGGGTTGGAACATAAGCTAGAAACACTTCCTATTTGCTAGGGGGGTGGGAGTATGTGCAGGGGGTGGGGAATGGGTGGGACTTCACTAGAGTGACACTTGGCAGTCACTTGACACCCTGGAATGTGGTGGGCGTGGCACAGGTAAAAAGGGGGCGTGGCCTATTCAAATTAGAAGCAAGGTTCAAAATAAATATTAAAATTACTTTGTACGTACTTCCGGTGCATCTGTGTGGCACAGCGCCATCTTGGTGTCGTTTCATGTTTCATGGCTACTCAACTTAGAGTCATCAGTCATCTGACCTGGCCCCCTGCCCTCTATGAGTGGTGCCAAGCACTAAGTATACTGGTGCAGATGGCATGTATAGTGACACTTGTTCGTCCTTTTTGGAATGTTGATTGGCTGGGTTCTCACCCCATTTTAGCTTAGCCGCAACTCCATTTAAGGCACAGCCTGAGGGCTGACAGCAGCTGGGACGGGGCTCAGATACGAGCATTGCCTGAAGTCTTGTTTGTACTCTGAAACCTTTGTCCCTGGCTTTGAGGGAGAGCAGGGAGTACAGCAAAGACTCAAAAACACCGGTTCACTCCACAGAAACCCACTAGTCCGTACCCTTTGCACTCCAGCTAATCTTTTTATCTTACTCAGCTTATCAACCCAAGCTAAGATTTAATTATTCCCTCTCCCTTTGTTATCTAAATCCCCCCCCCAACTCCTTAGTGGTAGAGATAGGCATGTTTGGGGAGAGTGAGACTTTCTGTAGGGGAAGATAATTAAACTTTAGGGGAATTCATATCTGATGGGGGTGGCTCAGCATTATACAGACATCCTATTCCATGGGAGAAGGGCAGGTGGGATTTCTCACTATACTTATGGATAACCCCAAGTCATATCTGAGATACATAGCAGAGGGCATCTCACACTTCACAGAGGCGAGGCAGTCCTTTCCTTGTAAAGATTCTAACTTTACTTTGGGGCCTCTAATTAGAAGTGCTCCCCTAATAAGCACGTGCTCCCCTCCATTGCCTGCTGCAATATGCCTGGACATTGCAAGATGTTATCACTAGGGCCTTCTGGGAACATTTGGCTGTGATTTACCAAGCCAGAGGTTTTAGCACGGGGAAGGCAAAGGCTTATTCCAAACCCATGAAGAGATTCCTTGGTAGTGCCACAAGAGGAGGTGCCCTCTGAGCAGGTAGAAGGCCAGGGGGCTAGAAGGAAAAGCTGGCTACATCCCACAGGTCACATTCAGAGAAGCAGAGCTGGACTCCTTCCAAATGAATCCAAGCTCTGTCCCCCTGAATTTTTACCTCTGACTAAGCCCAGGGCTATTTTTATTCTATTAGGGTCTTAGAACACAGAATGTTTAAGGAAGGGGAGAATACAGGTGAAGAGTGCCCATGAAAGAGCAACTAAACCACGGTGCCACTGAGGCAGGAATGGGGTGCTAGGCATCAGTGAGTTATGGTTTGAGGGGAATGACCTTTCATAATTGTATTTCATGGATGTTCCATGGTTGAGGGACACGGTCTAGGGGACCCCAGAGGAAGGGACCACAAAAGAAGAACAAATATTGGGGTACAGCCATGAAGACACAGCACAGAAACAATTTCCTCACTTGAGGTTTGAAAAGAGGAGAGTCATCTAACTCAGGGGGTCTGTCTGGGCTCTCATTTATGGAAAAGCGCTGAGGTACCCCTAGAAATTCCTAGCATCTAATTTTCCTTGCTGGGCTACTAAAGTGGCCTCATGCTGACATCTGGTGGCCATATCTGTAATTACAATGTACAATCTAAAGTACTTACTGCAGGAATTTGGGGGTACTCAGCGAGGGGAATTAGGGAGAGGCAAAGCTGCAACTCTTATGCAGCCTTGTACTGGGGCTTTTTTTTGCTTCTACCCTATCAGGCATTTTTTCTTTGCATATCTTCCTGTCCTAGGGCTTGGAAACATCCCAAACTACATAAACCTCAAACACCTTGAATCATCTAAGTTCTAAGTTTAGTTCTAAGAAAACTGTCATATTTATATTAAAATTAATTTTATTATGGGATCTTTCTAGGTATAATTCCAGGATCCCAGATAAGAGGTGGGGTCCCTGGGAAGAACTAGAGTGGGCTAAATTTTGTTCTTAATTCCCATTGGCAACCCCACCACCCTGTACCTGGAAAGGGAATTTGCAAACCTGGCTCAAGCTTGTCATCTGGTGGTCATTTAAGAAATTACACTGAGGCCCCAGAAAACATCTCTCTCCCCACAATCATAATTACAGGGTGCTTTATTAAGCCTTGGGAATGGGGAGAAGAGGGCAGGTGTTAGGGCTGGGAATGTAGTTCAGTGGTAGAGTATCTTGCAAGCATGAGGCTCTGATTCAATCCATTGCCCAGAAAAAAAAACCCCTCTTATCCTACCTGCATAGAACTTGTTCCTAACCCCTGCACATTGACCTCCTCCCCTTGGCAGACTGGCAAGGACTAAGACCACCTTCTCAAAAGCTACAAGGCCACAGCTGAGAACCCGGAAAACTTTGTGCCTGGGGATGAGGGACCCGTTCTACTGCTACACACTGCGCATCATATGGGAATAGAGTGGGCACAAGGGGTTGGTGCCTGCCTAGGTTCAAATACCTAGTCTGCTCATTACTTTGGGCAATATACCTAGAGCCTCCATTTTCCCTCCTGACATCACAGGTTGTTTTGGAACCATGTGGAAATGCAGCTGAAACAATTCAGAACCTATTACCATGGGAGACTTGTCCATAAAGGCTCTTCTACCTATTCAGACAAAACATTACTCCAGATGGGACTCTGGGATTTGGGGTGGAAAACTGGCTAGGGCTGCCTTGAGAGCTGAGCAAAGATTTCAAATAATAGCAAAGACCTCCTTGCCCCAGCACACACAGTGGACCTCAGCACCAGAGGACTCCCTCATCTGTAGCATGGGACTACTGGTCTCTCCCAAGAACTTGCTCTTGGCCAAACCCTTTCTCCCTGATCCACTCTGAGATGAGTGGAGGCCTCTGTCCTCCATCCCTTGGGATCCTGTCCCCTAGAGTATGGTGCTCCCATCTAACCATGGCTCTCCTGGGAGCATACGCAGGAAGTACACCAGCTCCCTTTTCTCCACAAAACCCTCATGGGAGCCAGTGCTAGCTCCAGGAGATGAAAGCCAGAGACTCCCAGATTCAAGACATAACCCTCCACTAGTCTGACCCATTAGCCCTCATGATTCAGCCCCACTGACCCAGGGAGGCTGAGGGTGAAAGGGGAGGTGAGAACCTCTTCTTACACCCACAACACACACACACACACATTGTACAATGTGTGGCTATAGCCACCCCCTGTTTATACCAGGGCCAGCCCATATGCCAGGCCTTCGGGAAGAGTTCAGCATAAGTCCAACAATGGCTCTTAGCAGTGCCTGGCTAGGGCTTATAGGGAGGCCATAGTGGACCTGCCTCAAAGCTACAGACTGTAGAGCATGGATATTGCTTCAGAAAGCCTTCCCATCACTCCCTTCCTCCTTGCTTTTAAGGTCTGACTCTGCAGCTGGAGCTGGGATATGGGGTCTCTCCTTTGTTGGCTCTCTCTCAGCTCTTCTTCCAACTCAGCCAGCCCCTCCCATCTCCTTTTCAGTATCTGGGTTCAGGTGGAGGCAATTCGCCTTCTACCAGTTCCCTAGTCTTGCCAAGGGAAGCTGTGCTTGGTCCTCAGAAGTCAGGCCTGGAGAAGATCAGCCAACAATGGCCAGAGCACAGATTTGAGTGCCTCAGTGTACCCCTGGTCCCCAGGTCCATTCTCACTACTTCTGGGTTACCAGGTGTTGCTGACCCATGCTAAGGACCTGTGCCCTAGAGAAGCTATGAGGAGTCTTCCAGGTCCCCAGCAGTCCAGGTCACAGTAGGTCTTAGGGATGGACAGAAGACCAGAGACCCAGCTGGAGTAGAACTCAGTCCTAAGCCAGGGTGGCCCTTTGAAGAGCAGAGGGGGAGTGCCAGGGCCCCAGCATGAACAGCCGCAAGCTGGCAGGGCTGAGAGCTCCCACTCTGCTGTCCACAAACACAGATGGGCTGCGAGAGTCAGAGGGAGGTCCTGGTGGAATGTGGGTCATTGTCAGCCATAGGATACTAAGCTTCGCAGGACTGTGGGGGAATGAGGCCTAACAGAACCATGAGGGTCTGTGGATGTCCAGGTTTGGCAGCTTTCAGACCTACTTCTGTCATTGGCAAAATACAGGTATGTCTGGGAAATAATCCACCAATAGTCCCCCGAGAGGAGGCACACATGGCCATTGGGACCTGACTGGCTCAGCCAACCAGAGTCAGTGGCCTTGGCCCAGAGGTTGGAGCTAGTCATTTTGAGAATATGAATGAGGCACTGGACAGATGCTGCATCACTGTGACAACTCTCAGTCTGAGGAGCCCTGGCTTAGGTCCTTTTTGGAGAGAGAGGCTTGTTGGTAACCCTATGTCTCAGCCCAGGCCCAGATTCAAGGGTCAGCCTCAAGTGTATGCAGATCAAGGGCTGGGTTCTGGCTACCCACAGCACAAGGGTGGCAGGTGAGGTGTTTGTACCAAGGTAAATGTGTGTGTGTGTGTGTGTAGGGGGGTGAGGGGGCCACCTGGGGGCCAGGCAGTGAGCCAATGACTCCAAGGGGACTGGCTCAACGCCACTGGGTAACTTGGCGCCAGCACAGCGTGACTGGACCACACAGGGCCGCCTCCACAGCTTCACTTTCGAAGGAATCTGCCTTGCTGTTCTGTGGCCAAGCCAGAAACAATAGTGGGGGGGGGGAGAAGAGTGACACCGTGTCCAGGCTATTCTTTAACTCTCAGACCCCTGGCCACGCCACCCCCAGCATTCTTTTCAAAATTGACCTTCCTTTCCTCTCAGCACTGGGCAGAAGGTAGACATGGGAAAGGGCTGACCCTGTCCCAGATGAGCCTTGCATGAGGCATCCTACACCCTGGGGTCCCTGTCGACCCAACTTCATGTAAAAACCAGGCTTTAGCCTTCCAGCCTGTGTGCCCAAGAAAACTCCAAGCAGAGCAAGAGGCCACTGGCTCCTCTGGCTCCCAGTCTCAGCGCCTGCTAGGGTTCTGGGGAGCTACCACCAAGGTCCTAGCTGGAAACAGACAGCCTGCGCCCCCTGGCCTGTTTGCTTGGCTGTAGTGTGAGGAGTTGCATGGACTGCCCCTATACTCTGCGCTAGGCAGCGGTAATTCAAGGCAGGCAGTAGATGACTGTAACCTGAGACATTCTAGGAATATTGTAGACCCCTGGACATTTGTTCCTCTGCTCCATGGGCATCTAGGGAGTCTAGGCCCCCAAAGGTCACACCCAGCATGATCAGACACCTCTCATTTCTCAAACATCATACCTTCCGGAGTCCAGAGCAGCCAGCCTTTGGGGAAGCCTCTTGGTCCGCGGGAGCGCAGAAGAGCAAAGGGGAGAAAACTGCAGCTTCAACAAGGGTAGTAGGGCCTGCCGACTCGGAGCGCCTCAAAAGCAAGGCTTTGCTGCCCTCTGCTGGACACTTTTATGATTAGCCATTTCTGGCTATATTGTTCAAAATCCACAAACACCTACTCCAAAACACTGAGGGACACCCAATTTGAGCCTCTGAGAAGGCTCCTCGGGGATTTCCTTTAAGCACAGCTAGGCCAGAGACCCACCAACCAGTATTTGGTGCTGGCTAGTGGGCAGGTTGACTTAAAAGCTACCTGGTTCTGGGTGCTTTCCACTCCTGGGTTCAGAACCTTTCTGGCCTTAAAAACCTCAGAAGAAAAAGTGGACTTCAGCCCCCCTGAAGCCACCTCTCATGTCACTCAAGATCGGTTCAGGCCTGGAGAACATGAGTACAGTAAATATTTATTGATAATGTAAGAAGGCAAATACCGTTCCCGGGCTGGGCTGAGGTGCCAGTTCATCTGTGCTGGGAGCCAATGCAATCTTGGGGAGCTAACCTGAAGGCAGCTGCATTGGCAGATCATCTTAGGTGTCTGGAGACCTGTATTGTGAGTGCACAGCAGAAGAGTGGCTGCCCTGGCTCCAGGCCTCAGTCACCCCGGGCAGAGCATTAGTTTGAGTCTCTCCATCCCACATATATGGAACTGAACCATCTCATTAGACCAGACAAGAGTACAACGCAGGCGTACTGGCTGTCCTTAGGAATACCCTAAAGGATCCTGGATGATAGGCAGAGATGGTGAGGGGCCCCAGCAGGGGTGGGGGTTGTTAGGGAGCAGGTCTCCATAACACACAGCCCCAGCATAGCTTGATGAAAATGATTATTACTGCAGGCCCCATGGACAAATGGAGTCCAGGCTCTAAGGGCAGGCAGGAACCTCTGTGCTGTACCCAGAAGGGGCTGAGTGAGGTAAGGTCAGCAGGAGCGCCTGGGGCAGGTCTATGGCTGACCTACATGGGGTGATCTGAGGGCTTAGGGGAACCTCTGAAGTTCTCAGCTGACATCTCTGGAGTTAGCACTCATGGTGGTGCTGATCAAAGACCAAGTCTGGCCCGACCTCTGCTCCCTGGGCACTGGGTCTTTTTTAGTGGCTACTTCTTGCCCACTCCTGCAGGGAGTGAGAGGCAGCACACGCTTGTCTCTAGTATTCTGCCTCCTCTCCTCTTCAAGTCCAGAAGAGGAGACCAAATGAGAAGAGATAGGAAGGAGAGCCCCAAACCAGAGTTTCGGGAGGCCCCAGGAAGCTGATAGGGATATGCCTCAGCCTAGGCAGGTTAAGGGTCCTGAGGACAACCTGCCCCTCCCTTGAGGCCTGGGTCAAAGGCTCTAGGAGTGAAGTCTGATATCTGGACCACACTTCTGAGTTCTCACAACCCATGCTGCAAAGCCGGGCTTGCTCCACAAGACCTGAGGACCCAAAGACTTGCTTCCTTCACCTCTGACTTATACGCACTCCCAAGAGTTTGTGGTTCCTGAATGGTGGGGTGCCACATCTGCCCACCCACCAAGGCCTAGGCAGCCATGGCTAATGGCTTTCTGGAGGTTCGGCAGACCCCCACCCAGCCCACTTCCTAGTTCTTGCTTCCACTCTTGCTCTACAGAGACTACACACACACACACACACACACACACACACACACACACACACACACACAACATACCTCCACTGCAGCAGGGTGCCCCATCTCAGGCTGTACTAACAGACCACTGGGGTGTTGTTCCCCTAGAAGGATCACAGCCACCTCCTTTCTCCTATTCCAGGCCCAGTGTCCAGCCATCCACCCCCCTGTTCAGTTCTGGCCATCTTTTCAGGGGCAGAGCTTGCAAGGGGCTTCTGACATGTCTCCTCTAGGTAGAGGTGTAGTATTGTCTCAGAGAGGAGGTGACTGGGAAGGGGTCCTCAGCACTGCTTTAGGAAGCTTCCCAGCCACCAAGATCCCTGGCCCTGGGTGCAGTTTTCAGGGAGACACAGATTAGTTTGGCTTGGGTGGCAGGTAAGTCAGCCAGGCCTTGGGGTGACCAGGATCACTGCCTAGGCTCCTAAGCTCTCATCTCACTGACAAGTACCACTCAATCTGTGCTCAGTTGGTGCTGAAGAGAGGTACTCTATGTTGAGATTCTCCAAAGACCTAGATGTTAAGTGACCTTTCCTTAGGACCGAAGATATTTCTAGAGGGATTGCTAAGCAGTCAGGTTCAAGGAATCTGGTGAGAGACCCCACCTAGCTGGAAGGAGAGACTGAGAAGTGACAGGAGATCCCAGCCCTAAGCCTTGCATCATCTGGCTCCCTCAAGGCCCACATTGCCTAGAACTCACTACTGGACCACTCCTGAGAAGCGGGGTTCTGATGCTCCTGCTCAGTGCCTATGGGAATCCTTTAGTATGTCCTTTTACCCATGTGAAATACCTGTCTTGTCCAGAGCACTAAGGGTCACTGGAGAGTCTGAGAGGGATCGAGGATGTCCTCTGTCCTCCCAAAGCTAAGCACTGAGAGAATGATTTCCATAGCCTTCCAGTTTAAGTTCCTAAGCCTAGTTTCTGGCCCATCAAGGACTCCATCTAAAATAGCTCTGCAGACAGAACTCAGGAAAGCAAGGTGGAAGCTGCTGTTGAAATATTCTGGTCCTCTTTTGTTTAAAAGTTCCCTGGGGCCCCTGAAGGCCCAGAGCTATGAAGCAATGAAGCGTCAGCTCCTAGCTACCATTACCCATGCCTTCCAAAGACTCCCATCTCTTCTCTATTCAGCTAGAAACAGCAGGGGTCAGGATCATGGTCCTCCCAGACAACTAAGGGTAAGGGTTATGGGGCTACCTGGAAGTGTTGGCCGCTTTGAGGAAGGAACTGTCTATGTTCCAGATTTGGTGGAGTGGACACCTGTGGTTGCCCAGGGAGCCAAGAGGAAGCTGGGAGTTCAGAGAGCACCAAAGAAGGAGCCTTGGGCAGACTCTTTAGGAGCCATCGTGGCCAGACAGGTGGACTAAGCTGGGGCCACACCAGCCAGTGCCCGCTCACATCCTACAGACACAGACACACGCAGACACACAGCTTGTAGTGCTCCTTCAGAGGTTTTATTCATTGCAGAAAGGGGGGCTGGGTTGGGGAGGTGGCTAGTTGCAGTAATTCTCCAGCTGGTAGAGCGAGCAGATGCTGGTGCAGCACTGGTCCACAATGCCTCGCTTCTGCTGGGCCACCTCCAGCGCCAAGGTCTGAAGGTCACCTGCTCCGGGGCCCCCACCCAGCTCCAACTGTGCCACTGTCAGGGAGGCAGTGTCAGAGCAGGCCGGAGCATCAGCAGCACAGATGCAAAGACACACAGGACAATCCAGTCAGGAGCAGCTGAGCAGCCTCCTGTCTACCCCCAGGCTTTCTTCCACCTTGGCCCCTCCTGCTAAGTTAGGGCAGGTGGCAGGGACCGCATGTATGTGGGACAAGTCACTGGGCATGGACACAAGGAGCTCCAAAGCCTACACATCTTGCCATCATCCCCCAATCAGTGCTTTATGCTCCCCCCCCCCCCCCGAATAGGTGCCTATTGTGGGGCCTCCCCACAGGTCTTCACCACCTAGGAGTCTTAAGCTGGATTGTCATTCATTCCCAGCAGCTGCCAAGTTTGCCTATGTCCCGCTGCCCATGGAAATGTGCACACACACACACCCCTGCCCGCAGTTAACTTGAGACCCTTCACACCCAGGACACAATCTGTGAGGGTGAAGAAAACCAGAATGGTAAGCACTGGGGACCAAATTCAGGGGCAGAGCTCACCTTGTGGGTCCTCCACGCCACGCCGGGACTTGGGTGTGTAGAAGAAGCCACGCTCCCCACAGACCAGGTAGAGGGCCTCCACAAGGTGGGAACCGCAAAGGTGCTGGTTGACAAAAGCCTGGGCAGGCTTGGGCTCCCAGAGGACCAGCAGGGCCAGCAGGGGCAGAAGGCGCATCCACAGGGCCATGATGGAACAGTGACCTGAAGAGAGGCAGGGCTGAGACCAGCAAAGGGCATGTGAAAGAGAGAGGAGCCCACATCTTCCCTCAAGTCCCTGGAGTCTTGGCCAGGGAGTCAGGCCCAGCGAGGAGGGTACGTACCTGCTTGCTGACGGCCTCTGATTGTAGCTAGTCACGTAGGGCTGGGGGTTACTGGGTCCCTACCAATTTTATAGTCTAAAGCACCTCCTCTCTGCCCCCTGGACTCTGGTGTTTGGCCCATTAAGGGCTCCAGGGGGTGGGTCGGCAGATGGCCAGAGGGGCTGAAGCTGCAGTTTCCAAACACTTCCCTGGTGCTGGGTCTGCAGAAAGCTCTCATTGGACCTCAACTCCTCTACTTAGCCCTAGGGTAATTAGAGTCTTAACAAGGGGCAAGGTGGCCTGATGATCTGGTTCACAGCAGGGGGCATTGTCCCAGTGAGAGTGAGGCCTTCTTTGGCCTTGACTGAGCAATTTCCACATCATTCCCCAGGGAGCTAGAGCTGTTGGGGGCCTGATATCTCTGTCCCTTGGACTGTTTCACAGTCCCCATTGATAGCCAGGTCCTTAGCTCAGCTGAGACCACGGCTCACCCAAAGAGGTAAGAACAAAGCAGAATTCAGGCACCAAGGCACTTGCTGGTCCCTTCCCTTCTATTCCTCCTTGCACAAACCCATTGAGCACTCAGGGGTCAGCTGCACTGAAGCCCTGTGGTACACCCTCCTACCCCAATACCCCAAGACAAGCACCTGAAGGCCATCAAGATCCCCACCAAAGGTACAGAGCTCAGAGTTTCTGCCTTGATCTCTTAGTGCAGGCTCTACCCAGCTACAAAACCGTTCTCAGACACCCCTTGGAGTGATTGGAGGTCCCCCGACTCCTCCTATCCCTGATTTGGTACTGCCCTGTTCCCCAAACAATCAGCAAAAACTCTTGGTGTAGTTGCATGAGCTAGAACTCTACCCTATGCAGGGCTTTATAGCCATTACACTAGAACCGTGGGTCCCTTGTTCCCTGCTCCCTGTCCCCCAGGAAGTGCTGCAACTGTTCACACTTAGGTTATCTGGGACACTACAATGAATCCACTGGATCAGGGGATATGTGGGTACCTCCAAAGGAGCACAGGCAAGGAGCAGGATCCAGGTGGGAAGATGGGGGCAGTGGGGAAGGGTATCCTCAGGACCATAGAGAGGCTAGAGGGCCTTGATGAGGGCCTCACTGGGGCTCCAACCTCCCTAGGAGTCTGTTCTTTTGAGAAAGGAGTCCTGTGGTATAGCTAGGCTTGTCTTAAACTCACAGTCTTCTGCCGGGTGGTGGTGGAGCACGCCTTTAATTCCAGCACTTGGGAGGCAGAGGCAGGTAGATCTCTGTGAGTTCGAGGCCAGCCTGGTCTACAAAGTGAGTTCCAGGAAAGGTGCAAAGCTACACAGAGAAACCCTGTCTTGAAAAACCAAACCAAACCAAACCAAACCAAACCAATCAAACAAACAAAAACTCCCAGTCTTCTTGTCTCAGCCTCCCAAGTTCTGGAATTCAGGTATGTATCACCAGTTCTGGCTCTTCTTGGGACCTTAAAAAGGCTAAGGGCTTTCTTTATGCTTTTTCCCCCTGTGGCATTTATGCTGTGTAATAATTCTGCTGTATACTGTGTGAATATATGTCACTATGATTGGTTTAATAAATAAGCTGACTGGCCAATAGCTGAGCAGGATAAAGTTAGGAAGGAGGGCCAAACTGAGAATAATGGGATGAGGAAGGGTAGAGTCAGAGTAGATGCCAGCCAGCCACCAGGGAAGCAGGATGTGTAGTAATGAGGTAACAAGCTATGAGCCACATGGCAAAGCATACATATGAAGTATGGTTTATTTTAAATGTAAGAGTTAGTAACAAGCCCAAGCTACTGGCCAATCATTTATAATTTATATTCAGCCTTTGAGTTGGTTACTTGGGACTGGGTGGTTGGGACAGGAAACACATTTAAACTCTTTCTGGGGTTTCAGTGACATACAGGAATAATGCTGAGCATCCTTGCAGGGCTTTAAGCCCTCCACAGGACCACCATGGGAGCACAAACATCAACAAGGTTTCCATGGGTATCACACCTAACTTGAGTCTCAAAGGAGCTCACGGATGTGCCAACACTGCAATGGGCTTACCCCATCTCAAGTTTGCAGCAGGGCTCACAGCCTATTTCAAGGTTTCCTTGTGGCTTAAGGCCTCCCTTGGGGCCTCACATGGTTCAGCATCTGGTTCTCTGTGAAGGTTTCATTGTGGCTCTGGGCCTTCCCTAGAGTCTCAACTGAACAAATGCCTTCCCCAAAGTCTCTGTGAGGTTTTAGAGCACCCTTAAGGGCAATGACACCCAGAGACAGCTCCAGTTTCTCAGTGGGGCTAAGACCTTCTCTAGGCATTTTTGGAGCTCACAGCCTTCCTCAGAATCTCAATAAGCACCATGGTCCTGCCATATCACATATCACTGCTATTTCAAATTCTTACAGCCTTCCCCAGGGTACTAAAAGGACTTAGGTTTCCTCCAGGTGTTCCTGAAGCCTGGTCTGCTTGGTACTCCGTGGGGCTCACACTGTCTCCCTGTCTCTCATCCAAACTCATGGTATTCCTGAGGGTCACAAGGGGACTTAAGGTCTTCCCTAAGGTTTCAGTGGGCGTCACTGACTTCCCAAGACCTGAAAAGGGCCTAACTCCCCGCCCCCGTGTTAGTTCCTTTCATATCCCCATGAATGAATCTCCCAAAGAAGCAGCTTTGAGGAGAGGTTTATTTCAGCTCATGGTTTGAGGGGACATGGTCCATCGTGGAACGGAAGGCATGGTGGCTGGAGTTGGTCTGTCTGTGGCAGCAGGAGCTTGCAGAGGCACTAGCCAGGATGCAGAGTCAGACTGGAAGCAGGGCTGGCCCATAACCCTAAGGCTCATTCTGACGACCCTAGGCCTATGAGCTAGGCCTCATGTATAAAATCTCCCAGAACAGCACCACACGCTGGGGACCAGATTTTCAAACACACAAGTCTGTGGGGAAAGCTCCACACTCGACCCATCACACCAGGAACACTCCGTGGTTGCAGTGGGACCCACAGCTTCTCCTCAGGTCTCAAAGGAACAGAGAACCCTCCATGGGAGGCCTTGCCTTCTTGTAGCGGGGAGTAGGAGGAGGGAAGAGGAGGATCTTTGGTGTGTAAAATGAATGAAAAAATTTTTTAATAAAAAAAAGTTAAAAAGGAAAAGGTTAAGTATACAGAGAACAAACAGAAGAAAATCAGGTGTCATTGTTTTAAAAGTAGTTGTCTCCAAGACAAGGTTACAGCCAAAAAAAAAAAAAGAGCTCTTGGATAATTCACTGCATCAGGAAGGCATGTATACATGTGTACATATAACAGAACCTTCAGATAAATGAAGGGGAAACTAACACAAGAAAATAAGGGTAATAGAAATAACTAATTTAATTATTTTAATATGTTCTCATTATAAGTGCATTTTTAATTAATAAAGTTGATAAGTCACAACAATGATCAAACAATAGCAAAAACCTCAATCAATATGAGCAAATAAAAGAACATCGCTATGGATTGAAGGAACAGAGGAAAGAGTCGTATGAAATATTATTATCAGAATTATGAAAGAAATCTTACATCTTACCTCAAGTGAACTCCATGAGAAACACAGCTTCTAAAATATTGTACAAGATTAAATAAAAATCAAATAATCACACACACACACACACACACACACACACACACACACACACACACACACACACAAGGACTTCTCTAGGATCTCAGGAAAGGCTAGTCTTCCTCTGGATCACATGGGATTGAAGGGCTTGCTCAAAATTTAACATTGTTCCTGGCTCTCCTCCAGGTCTCAGTGGGGCTCATGGGTTTTTAAAAGAATCTCTGAGGTTTGAGGCCCTTCTACAGTGTCCTAAAGGTGTTCTCCTCCCTCCTCAGGGCTCAGTAGCCTCCCAACCCTTTCCAAGGCCTCAGCAGACCACGAGAATCTTCCAGAGTCTCACCAGTACTCAAACACTACGTAAGTGTCTCAATAGGGAAGAAGATTTGCTCGAGAGTATCTGTGGGCTTTCATGGTCCAAGATCCCATGGCCTCAGGAAAACTCAGACTTGCCTGAAGTCTTAGCACTTTTTCTTCTTCTTCTATCTCTGTGTTTTAACTAATGAATTGTTTGTCTGTTGGAAGTCAAATGACAATCTACAGGGCATGAGTCCCTCTTTCCACAGAATGAGTCCTAGGGGCAAGCACAGGTTATCAGGCTTAGTAACCAGTACAAGCTGAGCCATCTTGTTAAGCTCAGATGTCAGTACTTGTTAAACCTTCCCAAGGGTATCACTTAAGCCTAAAACCTGTAGATGGACTTACCAGGGCCTAAGTCCTTTCCAACGACTGAATGGGAGCCTAAGGGACTTCCTCATGGTCTCAGAAACACTAAGGCCTTTCACAGAGACTCATTGGGACCAGGCTTTATCAGGTTCTCAGTGGGGCCTAAGATTTTCTCCAGGACCTTACTGAAGCTTTTCTTAGAGCCTAACTGTAGCCAAAGGCTTTCCTCAGGGTCTCACTGTGGCCAAATGTTATTACCAGGGTCTAAATGGGGTCTAATATCTTAGCAGGGTCTCACTAAGATCAAAGGTTCCCCTGGGGTCTCTGTGGCCTAAAGCCTTCCCAGGGTCTCGCTGGGGCACAGGCCTTATCCAAGTTCTCCCAGGAGCCTACAGTCCTACAAGAGCTGTAATGGGGCAGAGAACTTCTCCGGGGTGTGAGACCTTGAACTTATCTAAACTATCACAGAGGATTAAGATCTTACATCAGGTATCATTGCACCTAAGGCTTTCCCTGTATTCTCACTGGGGCCTAAGGTGTTCTCAGGTTCTGACTGGGACCTAAGACATTCTCCTGGTACTAACTGGGGTAGCAGGCCTTCTCCCCAAGTTCTCACTTGAGCTTAAGATCTTTCTCAGGTTCTCACTGGGCCCTACGGCTTTCCCAGATTTGTACTAGGGCTCAAGGCCTTCCCAGCTTTGCACCGAGGCCTAAGACGTTTTGGAGGCTCTCTCTGGTCTGAAGCCCTATCCAGATGCCCTCACTAGGTCTTAGCACCTTCTGAGAGTCTCACTGGGTCTCATTAAGACTTTCCCAGGTACTCAGTGGGTCTTAATGCTTTCACTAGCTTATTACTGACTTTGAAGACCTTCCCTAGTTTTTTTTTTTTTTTTCATGGTAAAGACTGCTTTATTGGTGGCAGTTAGTACACATCAATAAATATTGATCCCCAAAGAAGAGCTCAGT